TTTTGTTAGAGCAAAAATTATTCAAGTCGCAAATAAGAGCATCCACAATTGGCTCGCTAAACCACCTCCTCAGACAAATTTTAGGGAGGAATTGTAAAAATACAACTCTAACCATGCTCCCTATCCACCTCCTACAATAGGGAGACCTCTAGAAGCTCCTAAATATGAGGAGAGATAAAAGAATCCTAGTGGCTCCCTATAATTTAATGTTGCTTTATTTAATGAGTATTTTGAACCTTTGTTTGATGCTAACTATTTTTTATTTTATTTTTTAATAGAGATGGACCAATGAAAAAAGAGTTATAACTTTTATGACTCCCTAAAGTAAATAGCACGATTGAAGTTTAAATTTTATAGAGAGCTCCTAAAATAACATGTATGACTCCCATGACTCTCTCTCAACCAAAAATATAGTAAGTGCCAGTTTGGCATTACTTATTTGGGATAATAAGTGATTTTTAAAAAAAATTGGGAAGCCCAGCCCGTTTGGTAAACTATGAGAAAATCACTTATTGTTAAAAATTGATGTGAGAGAAAGCTATAAGGGAAAGCATCTAATAAGGTGCTTTAATTTTCTGATTATGTAGGAATCAGTTTTGAAGAGGCGATGGGTTTAATGATTATGCGGCAATAATTTTCTGAATATGCGGAAATCAATACCAACAACACTTTTAACAAAAAGTTTACTATACGCCAAACTGTTTTCTTTCACAGTAAATCTAACAGCGATTATTTTCACAGCACAGCAATGCCAAACTAGCCCTAAATCTACATTTTCACCTGGCTACTGTCACCTATAATATTTTGACCTGTATGTTCAAAGGACCAAGTTGGTTTCCCTTTGGTCGATTACAAGAGAAGCTCAATGCAGCTTACTTGATTCCTCTGGTAGATGGGCTACGTAGAACAGCTTTTTGTTTTATATGTTTATGTGAGGCGTTTTGCCAGATTGAATTAACGTCTTCTAGCTACGTACCTTATCTTTTTGACGCTGAGCATGGACTTGGGTTGACTTGTATAAGACAAGACTGAACCAAACGTACGTTCAATTATTTTAATTTATTTTTTTAGTCGGAGCCATTCAATTCCTAATTATTTAGATTTTGGATCCAGTTCCACATCCCAGAGAAAGAAAACCACAAGTTTGCAAGCAGGTTTGATGCCATTTCCCCCAGTTTTCTAGATATGTATGTACACGAGAAAGTTTGTCCATATTAACACTACGTAGAGTATAGGCAGTGTGCTACTCATCTCATTTTTTTCAACCTACCCTATATTTGTCTAAAAGAGTTTTTAATTTCATGAACTGAGATTTACGAGAGAAATATCTGAGAAACAATTTAATATTATATACAATTTATACCAATATTTCCAAGCAAAAAAATGTCTTGGCAAGAAAATGTAAAATTTGTTACATAACTTATTAAATATGAACAGTTGAAAGAAAAAAGAATTTGATGAATCCTTGGTCTGTTTGGATGAGGGATTTTGGCTTTCATGGGATTTGCAAATTCCTGTGGCCCAATTACCTTGTTTGGCAAGCTACTGGACCTCAACAAAAACTCAATAATGAAGGCGGCATCCACTAGATTGATTCTTAGAAATTCTTCACTGCTATACCCAATCGGTTCTGCATAACAACTTCTCAGTTTTACTTCTTGGAGCTTTATTTTATTTTTATAAAACTCCAATTGTATCTTGGTTCTACGTAGAAAACCTTGTAGATACCTCCTGTTGTGATATTCCATACCATTTAAGTGTTCCTTTCCATGGTGAAGTGGGCCTATAGAGACTACCTGAGGCGTGTAGGCTTAATCATCTTTTCCCTGCCGTAGTCGTTTAGGAACTCTGTAGATACCCCGCAAAGGGGACAGGAGAAGCCACCCGATTCCAGCATCAAATCGTATGGGTTTTCTATGTCATTTGGACCTTCATCAATTTCTGCCATTTTCCTCCTGATCATACAGTGATTCAAATATTTCATTATGAACGTTGGAGATGCTTTAAGCAAACTTTTGAAAACAAAAACCAAAAAACATCATGAAGAAAGAGGGAAAGGCCGAAAGAGGCAAAATCTTAGTTGTAAGGTAACAGGTTGGTTCGAGGACTCGTTGGTCAAAGGAAAGATGGCCCTGCAGCCCCCACAGACTTCATATTCATCATTTTATCAGGCAGGGGGAATCAAGGTTTGGCTCCGATGGCCTCAAATTCTTATGATACTTATGTCGTTAAACTATTTCGACTTTGGTCAAACCTTTTCATCTATTCTTGTTTTGCATGGATGTTTCTTAGATAGTCACCTAATTTAAATTAGACAGTTTGGATCAATATATATTGTGGATATCTTGAAAAAATAGTGGGAATTCTAAGTCTTGCACGAAAAAAATCATGTGTGTCAAGCTCAAATAGAATTGATCGGTCCACGTGTTTAGCTCAGTCTAAGAGGATCCAAACAAGGTGATTATTTAGATCTTATGCTTCCAATCAAACATTGCGATACAGACCAAATTTCCATGAGAGAGAGAGAGAGAGAGAGAGAGAGAGAAGAAAATTACAATATCCCATAACCTTTGTTTAATTCCAGTTCCCCCACTACCATGAACATATGTAATCAACAACCTAATTTGAATTGAAAAAGAAAAGAGATATATGGAAGTGAATAAAACACACCTCTAAGGTTGTTTTGCCTTTGGTAGCTGATCAGAAAAGCTCAACGCAGATAGTTTGAGGTAGAAATTTTCTCCTATTAATAGAAGAATGATGAACTATATGTAAGAAGAAGTAGATTTAATTTCTTCCACATTAAAAAAAAAAAATCTTTACTAATGATAATTATAAAATAAAAAAAAGTACGATTCCTTACAGCTTCCTTTTAATATATTTACGAAAAGTTTTGCTCAGACCTAAAAAAGTTCTAAGTCAACCCATCAATTTTCTTTTACACTCTTTGTGAATTCTTATCTGAAAATTTGAAAAACTTAAAACTAAAATAAGTAACTCAACAAAACCCTCAGGTAGAATGACCCATTTTGATCATCATTCAACTATTTTGACCGGTGGCGGCAAAACTTTACAGTTTGACTCTTTGAGCCGTTTTCATATCAAAAAAATACTCTTTTAATTAGGTACAAATTACGTTCATAATTCAGCCACAACAAAATAATGCAATGTTCTCTTGCAAATAACATTAATATAATATCTAATAAAAAAGATCTTACTTCAGCCATAATCACAAATGGCCAATACAAATCCGCCGTGTAACGCCAACAAACTTTAGTCAAACCAAGAACCACAACTATAAAACAAACTTAAAGATACAAAACCATGTGCAATACAAACTTACCAGAAAATCAAGACTTACGCTCTTATTTGCTCATTTACGCGCACCGAAGTCAGTCATTAATATTGTTGTTATAATATACACACACAACACTCTTATATATTCTTAAATCAGCTTCAAAGCATGCCGGGGTATAATTGGTTCGAATAATAAAAGCAGAAAAGCGGTGTTTTTCTTTTTCTTTCAGAACATGGAAAAGAAATGTTATTCTTGATCAGTTCTTTACCATCAAGCTTGGCTTAATGACTTCATTGATTTCACTCTTATATTAACTTTTTTTTATTTTTTATATATAAACATTTTTGGGGTTAATGGAGATGTTCCAAGGGTGGACTGTGTGTAGACATGGGTTTAGCTAAGTTGGCTAGAATGGATGTGCTCCCCATTTTGCACCCGAGTTTGAATCCCCCTCATAGTAGTTTCAATCAGATTAAAGTATAATATCGATTGTCTAAAATAAAAAAAATAAAAACAGTATTGAATTCGAAGGGTGGAGTGTGTGAATGCATCGAATTTAGCTTTAATATGTATTGGATTCGAAGGGAAAAATAAATTGGATCCTTTTCGTGTTAATTAACTAAAGTAGTATCACTCGGAAAGGCTACAGTGGTTCTCGTGCATTTCGTTGGAATAAATTAACTATGAATTAATGGATTTGTTCCTGTTGTATTCAAGAAGTAGTGGGAGGCAGACCAGCCAAAACAAAAGTTGTGGAGGCTTATAAGGACAGAGTAGAGTAGAGAGACATATGTTGGGGTGGGGGTGGTCCCCTGTCTTTTCCCCTGTTTTCCTCAACCCTATATTTATCTTCAAAAAAATTTACTATTGTTGCGCAGCAGAGATAATAGAGCACACCCTCTGTACGAAAGTGAGCATTAGAAAATTAGCAGCTCCAACGATTTCCTTAGTTGTCCAAGGTGAGTTGAAGAAATGTTTTATCAAATATTCCTTCCATCTGTGCCTAAACATTCTGTAGTACTTGTTCAGGTTTTCACAAAGACTGGTGAAGTAGAACTCATCTGCCATAATGACGCCGTCAGCGAGCTTCTTGATCATACTACAGGCTTTAGTGCTTCACCTAGCTTGTTTTCAACAATTCCATTCTTAACAAGCTTGTTTACTCTCATGCACTTGCCCTCTTTGTTCATTAGGAATTTTTTCATTATCGATCTGAACCAAGGGAAATCGAGTAAAAATACGAATTGAAAAGGGTAAAGGACAGCTTGTTTGGGTAATAAGGAGAAAAGATCTAGAGGATTCATTGGATTGGATGGCATTAATTGATCATGCAAGAATAGAGAGACACATGGGCGGAACTGAGGCCAATGCAAGCTCTTTTCCCCCTGTTTTTCCCCCTGTTTTCCTCTGTATTCCGGGTATGTAATGTACATGAGAAAAGTTTGTCCAGGATATGAAAAACGCTACAAATTTCAACACAAATATGAAAAACGCTAAAAAGTTACGACAAATAAACCACACAATAAAATCTCCAAACTCACAAAGAAACCACTAATAGTCTAATATAGGAACTTCTATTTTTCCTTTTTAATCTCTCTCACGCTTGATTTTCTTTTTTGGGTCAAATCTCACACTTGCTTTAAGGGAACCTGGCTGTGGGGAAAAAGATATAGAGAACACTGTAAATGAGACTTGTTATGGTTCATGCTCTAGCAGCAGAGATAATAGAGCACACAGTTTGGATAAGAGTGAGTATGAGGAGAACAACAGCTGCAATGACAGAGAGAGTTCGCCATGGTGTGTTGAAATAATTTTGTCTCAAATTTGCCATCCTTTTGTGCCTTGTCGAACTGCAGTACCTGTTCAGGTCTTGACAAAGATTAGCAAATGTGAAGTCATGGGATCCAAAAATCCCAATGCCAAGGTTATTAAATAGAGCAGCCACCTCTTTCCTGTCACCTAGAACATTTTCAATAATTCCACGATCAACAAGCAAATCCACATCACTTGCGTTGTTCACAAAACGATCCATCATGATCATATAATCACATACATAATTGTGCTGGTAATGACACTGTTCAAAGGCAAGAAGATTTCTTAGAGAGATCTCTGTGTGATCCTCTACTTTGATCTTTGGAATTTCCAGAATCCCATCAGTGAATCGAATGTCAAATATGTTTTTCCTCGATCCCACCTTAAACTTCACTCCCGCCTGGTATAGCTCTGTCACGCTAGGTGTAGTTAGATCTTCTAATGGTATTGATGGAACAACTTCTGATTGGCATAACGATCTTAAAATAAGATCCAAAAAATGTTCTACTTTTTTTGTAGAACTTAATCTCTTTAAAATGAACTCTTGATCTGCTTGGTACATCAGAATCATTGTTGAAGTGAAGAATTTGAGAGAAAGATCAGTTACAAATGTTGAAAGTCTGTCATCAGAAGTGTCAGAATCAGAAGAGAGTGTACCTTCTTGTAGATAAAAAAGATCCTCGAGAATGAAGAATGGTAGTTGATTCTCAAGCAATTGCATGTCAGTCATTATATCATGAAACATCACTGGTTTGTTAAATATGCGGTCATTTTCTTTTCTCGGTGTCCTGAAATTGCTTTTCAACAAGAGCTCTATGATGAATGCGGCATCTACTAGAATGATTCTTACAAATTCATCACTGCTAAATCCAATGGTTTCTGCATAACAATTTCTTAATCTTGTTTCTTGGTCTCTAATTTTCTTTATGCAATCCTCCAAGCTTACTTTGGTCCGACATAGAAATTCCTGTAGGTACCTCTTTTTATGCTCTTCCATGGCTTCTAACCCTTTCTTGCCATGGTGGAGTGGACCAATAGAGACTACCTGTGGTGTGTATGCGTTTTCATTTACGAGTCTCAATCGCTCTGGAACTCTGTAAATACAACATGAAGAGGATAAAGGAGATAACCTACCCAATTCCTGTCTCATGGAAGTTTCTAATGGAATGTATGGGTTCTCTACATCAACTGGAGCAGCTTGATTGCTTCCTTCCATTTTCCTCTTGATGCACTGTTGTGAATATTACTTACGTACTATAAAACAAAAGATAAGAAACTAGAACTCCAATAAAATGGATATGTGCAAGTAGAACAAGGAGAATGATATATTATATACAGTTCCCTTCTATTGAGGGATCCTTCAAATAAACACCATTTAGGGTCCTTTACAAATTTTTTTCCAGCAATTTAGATCATCCATTTTGTTAAGTCTACACGCATAGATCATCCTTGCAAAAAATTAAACAAATCAAAAACCGTTTGGACATCCAATTGTGTCCTACAAAATCTTTGAATACAGTGCTTCAAGAAAGTACTAAAATTTCAAAAATTCAATTGAGTGGTCAAATGATTTCGAATTCAAGTGATTTTTTAATAGAGATAATCTTTGAATGAATATTTACAAAATAGATGGTTTGGATTAGTGAAATACAATACGGAGTGGACTCTACAAGAGTGTCCCTCAAATAAGCTTATTCGAGGGATCCCTCAACGAAACCTCTCTGTATAGTTATAGTTTCATGATAATATTATATTCAAAACCAAGTGTTTAACTGAATTAATCACAGTACAAATTATATTCATAATTCAGCCACAAACGTACGAAAACAATGCAACGTTCTCTAGAAAATAATATCATATCTAGAAAATAAGGTCTTACAGGGTGGGTGAGTTTTAATTTTGGACAGAGATAGAGAAAAGGAAAGGCAAGACAGAGCAGATCAAAGGGAATTTGTGTTGTAAACTGCTGAGATTGATAAAATTTCCATGTGGGACCCATGTAGTAAATGGGGAAGCAAGTTCTGGTTTTGGTTTGGCTTTTGGAGGAAATTATGTTGCATTAAATGAGTAGTTAAAAACAACGTAAAAATATAATATTAGAAGTATTAAAAGTAACAAAAGCTTAAGTGGCAGGGAATGGGAAGAGGAATGTAGGCACGCCAACAACAGCAAACATGTTATATTATATGTAGTATTTTTTTATTTTATAAAAGTTGAGAAGGTACGGAAGAGAGGATTGGGGTGGATGTTGCAGAGAGTGAAACTGGGAAAAAGAAAATGGGAGGTATTGTTTTTTGTTTTTTGTTTTTTTAATTTTCTTTTTCAAAGTAGGGGGTTGGGCTTGTTTCATTTTAATTTTTTTAAAAAGATAAGTGTAGTCTCTATACATTATAATTTTATTCTTTATTAAAAAAATGATATTCTCTTTTAGATGAGACATTAACAAAAGTGCCTAAAATTATTTAAAAAATAAATGATTTATGAAGCTACAATGCAATGTTTTTAAAAGAAAATTCATCGTGGACAATTGAAGTTTGGATGGAAAGTACTATTTTTCTGTTTTTCTAGTGTTATTTTCTTCTAAAACAATTTCGAAACTTTTACACTGTGACCCCTTGGCGCGAGAATCCTAGATCCGCCACCGCCCGT